AGTTTGGCAAAACTCCAATCAGAAAACGGCTTCGGCTGTTTTTACAGCGATTACATCTGAACGACATTCCAGCTACTTAATACAAACTTCACTGCCTTTAACTGCCATCACTGTAGTAATTTCCTCTCTAAATGAAGTTTTGCTGCACATGACGCCTACAACCCGTGTACTACTTCATTCGATCCTTTCTAAGTATGACAATTCCTCTAACGCAACCGAATTCCAGTTGTTCACTAGAATTCGTTGTGCCGGTGCTGAATTGTACTAAACTATCCACCGTTACACTAATAATTGTGATCACATGAAACATGCATGCTGTCACCACGATTCAGATGGCGAACACAAAATTCTAATGCAGCACAATATTCGGTAATTCGTTTCCCCAAGTCAATATCCAATGGATACGTTCAACTTTCAAGATCCCGGGAACCCTAAAAACCTGTTAGGCAAGTGGAAAAAACAAGCAACTCTTTTAAACCAGAATAAATGAAATCTTAGTGAACCAATTTTCTCGCTTCATTCAACTTGCTAGCGAGATATCAGAAAAACATATTAGAAAAAACCAGATCAGATTCGCCGCAGAGATCGCCTGATTAAGAAAACGCACGTCGATCGATTTGCGAACAATTGGCGCTTATTAGCAAAGGCCGAAATTTGAGCCATGTGAGCGACGTAGTTTTTTTCGCATGCGTTCTATTTCTCACAAACCAAACATTGATTTATTGGCCACAACGGAACATAGACACCTAACTACAAAACGTTTACACTAGGCGTTTCATTTTCGCCAGTTCCAAGTGCTACAGCTTATGTCTCGTGTAAAACTCTCGGGATAGAATCTCATGATCTTTTGTAGTTCAAAGGGTGCGTGCTAAGAAAAGAACGCATAAGACACGGTATTCCTCAGCACTGCCATTTTCGTGGAAATAGTTACTGTTTTTTCCATGATCAAAATCTTTAAAACAAGTCTGTTTATTTTCAGATTCAGCAGAAAGGCATTATGTCAAGATGAGACAATAAAAACGAACAGACTAAGTCACGTGACAATGTTCCTCGCATTGATCCAAGAACGGAAAGGTTAAGTAGCATTTGTGGGTAGCGAAATGAACTTGGTGGTGTAGTGGTTACACACTCGCCTCGCATGTCAGATGTCCGGGGTTCGAATCCCGGCACGACCATTCGATATGCACTGCTGATGAGCTCTAATAAGAGCGAACCTCGAGTCCAGTGCTTCCCTTTGGTGTGCGGAATAATTACGCAAGAACAGGAGGACGACCGCTCGAATGGAGGTCACTCTATTGAGTGGTCAAATACTTCTTTCTCCATTACAACCTCTTTAGTGCACTCAGGGCTTTTAAAAATATTCACTAAGCTACTGGTAGCAAGCCACCAATAATTTGAACACTATCTCATCTGTTTGAATCCTTTCTGATTTAGGTCACAAGTTAAAGTTGTAGCGGATAAACACAATAAACTATGGCGAGTAAGATATTCCTCTATGATTAGATAGTACGAATACTAGTGGACTTGTCTCTCGGCAAGGCATTTCCGTGTAATGTTTGATAGATTCTAACCTCAGTCCGTCCGCATTCCCTTTCTATATAGTTTCCGTTCGTTACGAAAACTGCCTGACCACAAGAATACGCAGAATTGTTATCAAAGCAGATTCTTAGACTGCCAAAGATCAAGTGCTACACTGAGGAAATAAAGTGTAGGGCTGCCGTACACGTATATACGAACGAGCAACAAAGGTTCCGTCGGAAATTCAATCGATATCAAATTTGACCCTACCGAAGCACTTCGGCGAGCTAAGGATGGGAAGACCGTCCAGTCGTCACAAGCTATCAGACAGACAGACTATAAAATAGATGGTTCTGTTAAGGAAAGAGAGTGAATTACATGGTGGAAACCAAACAGGATGAACTCTCAAGATCATCGAGACATTAGCCAATCAGGAGAAAGGTCAGCCAAAAGGAATGCTGCCTCCAATTAGCAGTGGTGAGCACAGATTCATCTCGGTGAGTAGATCTTGTACACACTCCCACAAAACCCTACCCACATACCGCAAATTGCATTGAAATGCTTTCAGTCAAAGTGGTCAGTCAAGCAGCCAACTCAAGGCCCATAATATGAGGTGTGTGTATAAGAATTCTAGTTGATGACCTTAAATAAATGGACGTTTAGAGAACAGTCTGACTGGGAAAACTTTGTACAAAGCGGACACAGTTTGCGAGTCGAGTTTGACAGTCAAGCGGCAAAGTTTTGATTATTCGAAGGAGCATTGTCGTTTCCCAGAGTTATACGAAAAACGCTGTCATATTATGATTATTATTCAGTGTAATTTGGTGTAGACATGAAAGCCAATTCAATTGTCACAAGGTCTCAGAAGTGATTTGTCCTTAACCAAACCCAGAAACAAGTATCAAGTCCCTTGCTGATGTTGCCTTCGGGAGACCCGCGTTTCGCTTTTCTCACACTAGCTGTCCTGTAATCCTAGAGCGGCTCGCTCACTAGTGTCCGCTGGATACACAAAACAACCTTGTTTTCTGGGTCGGGGGGTCTTACAAAAGGACGGACGAGTAATCCAAAGGGTCTTCCTGCATGAAAGTGTTTGTTGAGTTTAGTGAAAACAACACGCAGAATATCGAATGAGATAATATGCGCCGCTATTATTCGTTCTTATGGCTTGTTCGAACACTCAGAACGAGAAGAACTAAGGTTGATGTCACCGGCCTACTGCACTGACGTCATACAGTTGTCGTGAAGGGAAATTCTTGACATATTTGTGTGGCGGATGCCGCGTATGGGCTGTTAACCTAGATGTGGGCAGAAATTCCTAAAATCCTCAGCTTTCAATTGTAAGTTTGTTGGCGCACACTAGAAATGTTAAACTACTATCGCTGATGTATAGTGAATTGTTTTCCTCGGCGAAAAAATGCACGCTTGAAGTGAATTGACGGTAGCTTGGCCACTGCACTTACTCAGGTGCATACTTCAAGCGTCTGCGTACAAACTTCGTCAACTTAAACATCAGACAAGACATAACAAGGATCAGGGACCCTAATGGACGGGCCTTAGTAGTGAATCAAGCTGTTAGTAACGATTGAACCCACAGCATATCTATACCAGTTTTTGCCCTATCTCTCTCTCTTTCTCCATTGGGAGTAGGCAGAAATGTGTCAGCCAGTCTACAGTCTACGGTGTGCCATGCGCAAAATAAGTAGCTGTTGCTCGGATCATGAAAACGATGGATTGCAGCGCAATCAGACAGGGGCTACTGGGAGTCGGGGTGATAGACTCTGGGTGCCGGGAGGCAATGTTCTATCGACTCCCATAGTAGACAGTTGCAGAACTACTCCTTCAACAGTAAAACCAAATGATACCGGTGAAATGGTCTGATAGTCCACCGTTCGACTGATTTTGCTTTCTGTAAGATGACGTGCTCATCTTTGCTGTGGTCAGGGTACAGTCAGTGCTGCACTGTTATGACGACATGCTTATTCAGCCAGAATGGTCTTATTCTCATAAGACAACGTTAACACTGTGTTTAATGGAACAGCGTGAGGTCTTATTGGTCAACTGAGATCAAAGTGATCGATAGGCGTTCCATGTAAGTTTAAAGTTTCGTCGTGCTACTTTTCCGGGAAGAATTTCCTTGACATAACACCGGAAGCGGTGTCAAACACGCAAAATAAAGGCACGTTGGGTTGTTCAGCCATAAGTAGATGAAATGTACCTGACACCTGTGGGGGCATTAATTTCCGACTGGGACACCCTTGAAATAATTGCGCGATATCTGTGTAATTTCCTCGTGTGCAGCTGTTTTGGTACCATTTACGTGATGAGATGTCCAAAGAGGGTTCCCACCTGTAACATGAAATGTCTACTATCCCAGCGTACATGTTTATCTGATAGTTTCATACTGAGACATCCGAAAAAAACATGATAAATGAACTGACCCTGTACTGCAGTCTTTCAGATGTGAACAACACGTGATGTCTTTATTCGCGTATGTTTCCATACTTTCCATACTTTGGTTCAGAGACTAGTGATTTCACGATGAGAACCAGCAGTCCAATAGATAGGAAACTTTCACTAGCTTGGGTGGTATGCTACACGCCTTCAATGAGCTCATAGTTTCGTCTCTCCAGTATCGATCCGAAGCTGAAACGGCAACAATGATTACTTAACCCTGCAATTTCCTCTCACGAGTGCGAACTTTGAACTTGCTTTGGTCATGTGACGCACGCTGTCCACCGTCCAACAGACCCCTAGACCAGCCCTTGCCCGATTTTTCTACATACTGTCACCTAGATTGTTCCCTATTTATCTTAATCACGTGGCCGATATTAACCAACCTACTTGACAATCACCGCTATTCTAAACGCTGAATATACGCTGATCTGACAAGGAGATTTTGAAAACACCACCGCTCGTCATCTTATGCTCTGCATAACATTTTGGGACTAGTTAGTCCATTCTTACATTATCCCCAGAGAGCGAAAGCCACGGAGACCGGGCGGAACCGTTCGTTTCTCTTAGGAGGTTGCTCTTCTTGGGAGTGCTCGTATACGTAATTTGATTTCCTTTTGGACAGCCGTAACAGTCAAAGCAGTCGACAGCTGGTGCGTCTCCCTAGGAGATAATCATCAATGCGTTCGCACGTACTGAAACCGGATGACCAGAAATCTGAAAGCTGAGTTGGAACTCACAGAAAAATTATCGGTTCAAAACGTTTTGGGTTGCACGAGATGTTTAACCAGATGTTTAACCAAACAGAAGACAAATTTTATAGCTATCTTCAAATAGTCGTTCTCATAAGAGCCAGGATGGGCAGAAAGTCCTCCTTCTGACTTCGTTTGGTGCAGTGTCGTGTAGATCGATGACTGTCTGACAATTTCCACGGTGATATCGCCTCCCCTTATAAACAAAGTACAATTTACATTGTATTGGCTATGAAAGCCAAGTTACTTTCGTGGACATATTTGCGAAATTAAACTCACCGTGGTAGCATCTGTTGGGGTGCCTAACATGGTCTCTTCTCCATCTGGCTGAAAACCACGAGTGGGCGAAGCGTCCTCTATGAGGCAGTCATACAGATGAGATAGCCTTGTTTCCGAACCGCTCTCTAAAGAACCCCATCTACAGAATAGAAGAATAGGAGAAGACCATATAATCCGAAGTGGATTTTTCCACACAGATGTTGATTAATTAATGAATAATGACAAAACCGTTTCCCAAAAACTCAAACTCATTTGGGATCAATCCGACCACTCGAAGCGGAAGACTACGCGTTAACTAGTACCAGCAACCTAACAGAAGACCGCATGCAAATCACATCGGGATCAAAATTTCAGCAAAAACTGCGAAATCAACATTGGACAGGATAATTTAAGTGGCTGACGAGGCAGATTGTTCTAAAACTAAATACTAAAATTGAAATCTTTACTGAACAGTGTTATGTACTTCGCCTAGTTACTTCCCTTCTGGTGAAACTAGGTAATCTCAGTTTAAATTTCTTGAAGTAATAGAAGTAACGCTACGTTTCACGCTATATAATTGTGAAGAAAAAAATGCTACTAACCTAGAGTGCAGGATCGTCCGGTCGGTGGCACGTCAAGCTCAAAATTGGTGATGGGTAAGAAGTGGAGTGCCTTCCGAAAACTTGAAGTCCATTTGTCCAGTAACACGATCACATCAGATGTGTGCGATTCAGTCTCAATTGTGTATGATCTATGGATTTTGAACCAGAAGGTGATCTTGAAGAAAAGCACTTCCAACTCAGTCTTATTTGTGCCGGTCGGTAACGTTGTGCTTCGATTTGGTTACTTTTCGTCCTTGCCACAGTTGCATTTTCATGTAGGGACAAACGCCCAATCATTGGGGAACGTTCTATCGCTCCAGTCATCCTAATTAAACTGCGCTAATTAAGGCACATCCAAGTGGGTGATGTTCCGTACGCTTGCTGGTCAGCTTACACTTCTACGGCTCTCATACCCAGTGAATTAATGCACATCTAGCGAATAGTTGGTGGTCCTTGTGACAACGGACATCCCAAGTAGGAACTACGACATCCGTAAAGTGCACGCTTCTCAGTAAACGTTCGTTTCATAATTGTAGACAAACTGAACACTATGAAGTGAATATTGGACAACGAAATTGCAAAAAATTTACAAAGGGCGACTCAAGGCCTTTCAACAGGCGTGCGTTTTGCTTGTATCGAAAGCCGAAAAAAGTCGTTCAGCTGTAACATCATTTCGGTGCCTAGCTGACGTGCCATAAAAAGGAGGCACGAGGGCTGGGATAATGCCAGGTTGCCCAAGCCTAGACAGGGTAAGTCGAGAGGAGGAGGTCGGGTTCGAACCACGGACCTTCCGGTCAGTAAAGTCGTGCTTTAACCACTTTGTCCGTCTCACCCCCATCGGAAGCCAACCCTTTCAGCGATACAGCTTACCCCTCTCTACCAGCAGGGTCGAATAATATTCATGTTTGAATACTTAGATGAATTCAGATAGGTTGTTTTTTAAGGCAAATGAATAGACTGACTTCTTCATCGATTCAAGTTAAAGTTCCAAGGAAGAAGACTACTGTTAACAATGTATCAATAGTCTGTTTTTGTAACAAGTAAATATCTCTTAGTTCTCACTATTTAATCCTTTACTTGTCAGACCGAAAGCCCCGGGAACCGTCTATTGCTCTTAATGCGTGCAAATCGATTCTAGCTGCATACCGCTGTTTACATCGTTGTCGGTCTAGCACTGGGACAGCAATCGGAGTATTGAATTATCCTTAATCCCTAGAATAACCTTCTTAACTAATGGCGTGTGTACACCGTTTTCGAGACGGAAGCCGACAGGCAATCTGAAGGCGCGCATGTGAAGACTCGAACTCAGTGACATCAACCACTAAGCTACATGAACCTCAATAAAAAAGACATTAGTTAGTTTTCGTTTCCCCAAGATAAGCGTACATTTCGTAATCTGTGATAAACATTTTGTCCTGGACCATTATCAGCTGGATTCAATTAAGGCCTCCCGTCAAAAGCGAATTCATGTGCAAATGAGATTGGTCTTCATCCTGATATTCCAATTTCCGGACAGACAGGTAGACAATAAAGAGGAACTAATCCTAGATAACGATGAAAGTCCAACTACTTGATGTCCTTCAAATCCCCACTAACTAACAACAGTTTAACTTCCAGAATAAATGGGCGATTTCTACAAAATCGGATAAAAAGAATTCACACAACACTCAACGTCCAGTTAATCGACTTAGCAAAAAAGAAATTTCTTCTGTGTGTGTTGCGAGAAAGTCAGTTATGTATAAACGACTTGGCTGTTTATGCTGCTGGATGTTTAACTCTCTCGATAAGAATGTGTAACATTTTCAGCTAATGTTGCTTGCAGGAGGGTCACCTTTTTTAGTTGCACCTTTTGTATGTGGCGTCTTTCTGATCATGCCATAAAATCCATCTTAGGACAAATGGCTTCCTTATTCTACCGGTCAGACTTTTTGGCACAAAATTGTGCAACACAAATAAATCTGACCTTCACACACACACACACACACAAACGCAATCGGTTGTATTGTTTACACAACCAGTAAAGCTTCAAATAGGGAAAAACTAAAATTCCACTCCATTTAAAGGCTTATCCCATTTGCATTCGCTCATTACTTGCAAAAATTTTGCGGGTTGTCTGTTTTCGTCTGCATGCATACACGGAATTTCCGAGGGGGGGGGGCAAGAGCCCCTGACCCAATAAAACTCCACAGATTATGTAGTATGTGTTACTCTGTAGTTAACATTGCTGATCAGAAAGGGGTTCTATCCAAGAGTTACCGTCGTAGTCCGGTGGGTAAAATACAAAGTATTCTGAAGAAGACGTTCTATGTATGCAAGCATCTTCCGACAGAGAAACTGGGATCTTTAGAATTAGGATCTTTATAGAATCGGCGTATGCTGATATTGGTGTGAAGAGATTCCATCCTGTCAGTGAAACTAATCTATGCCGAAAAGCCTAGAAACGCTACTTTACCGTTTCATCCTTTTTGGCGATCATCAACAATGCGCATCTCACGAAACTCGAAGTAACGAACCCGCAACCTTCCAGCCAGTGGTTGAACATTTGACCGCCTGACGACCAGCAGCTGATCAGAAGTCACTAGACAGAAGGTCGCGGCTTCTGAGATAAGCACTGCCGACTATCCGCAACAAGAACGAAACAGCAGTCAAATGTTTCTAGGCTTTTGAGGTTAGAATGGTTTGACTGACAGGATGAAATATCTGCGGTGTTGAATTTGTTTAAATTAGTCCCCATCTTGAACAGACCGGGCATCAATATCTTACGTAAGATTTGTTTTGGTCATCACTTCATACTAGGGGAAGCTGGACACTGTGAAGACGCACACAAACTGAACACCAGTCAAACTCCAAGTACTCATGTTTTAATTGCGTGAGTGAGGCAATTTGCTTGAAGTGACTATTTCCAGCGTGGTTGACATGTTATCTAGACATTATATAGGCGATGTGTTCGGGTTGATGACCGGTTTCAACCTCATCGTTTGGGGGAAGCTCCTCAGATCAAATTAAGGACAGAATCCCGATCAACAAAGACCCTAGGAGGGCAAAAACTATTGGAGCTGAATGCAGTCTAATGCAAAACCGGCTTCGCTTTTCAAACCACTTAAAGCGAATGACCGAATCTTGTATCCCAAAACAACTTGTCTCCAGTCAGCTGAAAAATGAAGTCTGAAATTGTTATACCTGCTGATTCGCCAATCTGTGACATCTGCTGCTGATCCGCACCAGTGCCCAGTGCCTGAAAAAAGACTCACAGAAGGGAACACAACGGCTATATTCCGAACGAGCGAGTGCGAGAGCAAAAGTTACAACGGCCCCACGCTATTTAAGGGGGACTTTCTGACATTGATCCAGGCTGTCTGATAGGCGTCAGTGAACACCCATCAACATCGATCGTGCCTCTATGAAATGCCTGAACGCTGATCACATTCGGTCGTGCTTCTGTGACAGGCATGACGACTCGTTGGCTTTTGCTGAATTGATTGAATGATTGACTGAACTGGATGGAAATTCTGCTGATGGAAATTCTGCTTCTGGGAAAACCTTTAGTTAGTTTTGAAAAACTGCAGCCTTTATTTTAAAATCATTGTAGACAATAGCACTCGACAGAACAGTCGTTAAAAATGGTCACCCAGGCAGGCGCCACAAGCTCTGAGAAGTAAAGCTTCGACCAGTCTCAAACAGGTGAGCCATTCGGAAGAGACTTAAACTCCTCAAGGGACTGAAGGAACGTGTGTATCAAGCTACAGTAAGTGGCGTTCTTTTGTCAGTTTCTATCCAGATTGCCTGAGTGAATGTGTGGAGGCACCGTGTGGTGGCACCACGGAATGATTGTGTTAAGCTAGCACTAAGTCGCTCCCCTGTCCACCTTTATTGTTTTCTTTACAATAAGGCTTTCAAATATGTCATGGTTGTACGGCAGTGAAGCATCGGTTTTGAACACTGATGTCATGCTGTCGATGATGATGATGAAACTCCTCAATGCAGCCTCAACAATGTGGACTTACACAAAATGCGGACACATCTGTCTTAATAAAGTTGGTCTCATGAGTTACCGGCACACCTACCGGTTAACATACTGACTACCTGGAAACGAAGCAGGTTCGCTCCACTTTCCAAAAACTACCTGCCCAACATTGTCATCCTAAGGATGAACGGCTGCTTTAACAAAATATTACCACCTTAGATGATGTGTCAGTGCACAGCTCCTGATTGCACTTACCTGCTGCCACACTTGGAAACGTAGTCGTTCACTGAAACTTAAGGGAACTGACAGATGACGCCGGCACCCGGACAAGTAGCCAGTGTAGGTGCCCATGGTTACGCAATCATGTTTAGGCCAAATGATGGCTTGGCA